AAATGTAGAAGAACAAAATGCCGAAAAGGCAAACGTCGAAAGCGGATAATGGAAGAAGGAAAGTATCGAAAGGAAAACGCCGAAAAGGAGGAGATTTCTTTCTGTTCCTTTAAAAATCACTGAACGTGGGGGTGAGGTGAGGTGAGGGTGGGGTGAGGGTGAGGCGTTCATCGTAGCAGCTATACTGAACTTCATCATACTTTACTTTTTCGACGAGTCTACGAGGTTGGAGATGTCTGATGAGAACCAATAGTACTTCTAATGATAATAATACGTATATTTCATTCAGTGATTTTCAAGGAACAGAAAGAAATCTCCTCCTTTTCGGCGTTTTCCTTTCGATACTTTCCTTCTTCCATTATCCGCTTTCGACATTTTCCTCTTCGACGTTTTGCTCTTTTTTTATCGACATTTTCCTTTTCGACATTTTTCCTTTCGATATTTTCCACCAAGACCGAAGACTAAAAGCAATACAGATTCTGGAAGTAGACACTTCAGGCTATCTTTCCATGTGCGCATCTCAAAACCAATTTTTTGACCGCAAATCATAATTTTTGAGTTCCTATATTTATTCACACGAACGAACATCTTTTATATAACTCATATATACTTTTCTGACATTTTTCAATATGAAAGAATTTATATACCGATAGTCTACATATTTATGTCTGTATATGGCTTATACGGTAAACACGTGTGTGCTCGAAGATATCTTTTCTTTCCACACGAGACGAAAAACCAGCGTCTGTTACACAAGGCACTTATTCCTGAAAGTGATGGGATGAAAACCACTTTTATACTGGAACTTTTTGCAGTTTATATCTGCGTTTTAACTTTTCTAGAGCAAAATTAAAGCAAAATAATAACTAATCTACCTAGTAAGTACAGGGCAGTTGCAGTGAGCGAGAGAATAGGGACATAGAAAATGACTCAATCGGCTAGTGGGCAGGCAACGACGGTCACGTTATAGTCTTGGACAAGCTATCTAATGTTCATTGTCTCGGTACCTTTAGACACAGATACAATGGGGTAACTCGATTTCAGTGCCATTGTACTGGAGAAATGAGAGTTAAAGTTTAAAAAATATCCTTTTTATTTTACTGTTGCACAGTTGGAATTTTCTTTTAACGTGATGGGTATATAGGAAACGAGCTTCTCAGAAAATGTACTATACCTGAGGACTTCTTCTGTGTTTCTTTTCTCAATCGAAGTTTATTGTGCAAAGGTCTCCAAATAAAAATGCACAGAAGTGAGAAATACAACAAAGGTTGATTTTTTTATAACAATTGTGAGTATCCTCAGTATGTAAGATTGCTTCGCTGTTAGTGGCTTTCAGGATGTAGCAACGATCAGTTCGGTTCTGCTTGACGCATAGAGGACTGGGTCTCAGCCATTCCGTCTCATTCACAGGATATTAGACTGGCTCTAATACCGAACTGATCCTAGTGATAATATCATTAGGTATACATTCTCTGAAAGTTCGAGCGTGAATGTTTTCTTCGCATACAGCAGGCGTTACCTTACCGGTAATATTCACACGCGAACCATAAAACATCAACCGCTCTCACTTTTATCAGGATCAAATACCAGTTATATGTCAAACCATAATTGAGAAGTACATGGGCGAAGTTAGAAAAGTCTGAGATTGAAGCTGCTTTAGAAATAACCATGAAAATTTTTCTAAAAGCTCAGAAAACTGTTAACATAGCTTCTATGACAAGTAGAGAGCGTGTTTACAAATAGAATTGCTGTACTTATTTGCTCAACCTCGAAGCGAATCTGAGGTGAATAACTCACCCTGATTGCATTATCTTCTTGAAGAGAAAACCGGATAAAACATGGTGAAATTAGTTTGTCAATTACCTTAAGAAACACTTTATTTTGAGATCTTTGTTGAATCAAGAGTTTTTCAATCAAGAAATCAAGATCCCGTTCCTGAACGAACCAGGATACTGGCCAGGAAATAAGATACTAGTCTCGAAAAAAACACATTCCTGGCCAGATATCAGATATACGTCTTGAATTCTGATTCCTGTCGAAAAAGTCAGTATACTGGTCAGAAAACCAGTGACCTGTTATTATCACATTTCAGCAATCTGACCAGGTTCCTGACCAGGTCATCAGATCTTTCAGTAGGGTAGCAATTTGAATATAGTGACGTCTTCAATACAAATTAAATATCAGTTATAACCAATGAATCTATCGCTAATACTTTCGGCGACTTTCATCTCATCAGCATTCAAAATTAAAGCTAAAAACCTGTCCAATCCTTAAAAAATAGCGCTAATAGAAAATTTTAATAATGATTAATTATAAAAATTAAAAGTTTAATTGAATTTGGCTTTCGACGGAGATCGTCCACGTCACTTCGAAAATGTCATCGGTATCTTGTTCTTTAACAATGTATATAGGTTGTTGAACTTTTACAATAACTTCCGGGATTGGATGAAAACGAGGTTCAAGTTCCGAACGAGGTCTATGAATTCTAACAAGAGCTTGCTCATCAATATCATAATGTGGATCTATATGATTTTTATTATAAGTAGCTTAAAAGATGTTGCTGCTCCAAAATATTTTCTTGTGCAGATTTATGATAAACTTTTAAAGGTTTATTTATTTGAAATAAATTAATCATTCGGTTTGAAAGAAGAGAATTTGGTTGTTGAATGAGTGCCGATCTCGAAAGTAAATACAAACAATTGAAATTGAATGACAGATCTGGGCATTTAAGCGATACTCATAACGGGTGAATTAAATAAAACGGGTCGCCTTTGTGTTTGACTTAAGACACCGAAACTTAGATTCAACGCTTTATAGATAGAGTAAGTGAAACAACCTCCACACTATCGGTTGTATCGTTAGGATTGCTTTAGAGTAAGTTCGAAGTTGGTTGCAACAGTTAGAAATTATACTCCGGAATACTCGTTTTCTACTAGTCATATTTTACTTCGCGATAAATCTCTCTGTCAACCATCTATTCCGGATTTACACTAAATTTATAGGCTGGTTTGTGATTATTAAGGTCAGCTAGTATGCTCGAATCTAAGCCTGTTAGATGCTTAGATTAAGCCTCTAACAGGGCTTAGATTCGAGCAAAGCATCTAACAGGCTTAGATTCGAGCATACTAGCTGACCTTTTTACCATCTTAATATCCATGCTGTTTGCTCACTTTAGACTAAGCCACTTCATAAATACACTATATAATCTACTGTTTTCAAACATTTCTATTGTATAAATGGCATTCATGCATACATATGTGCTTGTGCCAAGGAGGGAATAGCGGACTCCTGGACTCCCATGGACTTCTGAAGTCCAGGAGTCCAGGAGTCCATAGGAGTCCAGGAGTCCATAATAGTCCATAGGAGTCCCCCCGCTATTTCCCCCTTGGCTTGTGCACACATATTTTTATTACTTCTTTTTCTATCTTGCCGTTTTCCTCACTTGGTTATGCTGTTTTACCCATTATATTGCTATCTGTACTCGTAATTCTGTTATTCTTTCCCTTTCTTGATAACAAATAGATCCGCAATGCCCTTGAGCATTCGGTCTCCCAATAAATAGGCTTAAAACAAGAATGTCTCAAACTTGGACTTCGAAAAAAAGAGCTAGACTTAACAGGTGGCAGATAAAGAATGGTGCAAATTTTCGTACTAATTTATTTCTTTATTCGAAACAAAATTTACATAAATACATTTTATTGGATGAGAATCTGGATTAATATACTGTCAATAAATAAGTTTCTTATTTTCATTTTTGTATATGCAGGATATTTGTATCTACAGCTTTTGAACGAGATGACGTATTTGTATATAATGAATAAATAAGTCTAAGTAATAAAATATAATCGTCTTCTTGGTTGCTTTAACTTTCCGGCTTAGTTAACTTGTGATTTTGCTGCAGGAACGATTTCAGCAGCTGCCTCAGTCGCATCACCTTTTCGCGCCGTCGGGTATTGAGATCGTGAAGCTGCGAAACGCGATAAATACCATGGAGTGCCGCTATTGTACAAGCTGCTGCCGCTTGAACCATACGTACCATAATTTGAATTGTACGGATATTGATTAGTGTTCCACCCTGTACCATAGATATTCGAACCATAATATCCAGTACCGCCTACATTCGGATAGCCAGACTGACCATAGCCATAAACTGAGTTATATGGGTAATTAGAGCCATAGGCGGGGTTATATGGAATGTAATTTCCATAAGAGCTGCCGTAGTTTTGTCCGTACAAATTATATCCGTACTGATTCCTATACGGTGCATACTGCTGACCGTAGGCACCGCTAGCAAGATAAGTGTTGTAAGGATAGGTACCAAGGCTGGAGGAGTAGCCTGAACCGTAGGTGCCCGTTCCACTGTTGCCAAATATACCGAGCGATGATACTTGACGACGTTTACGGCGAGATCGACCATCCACAACTGAAAAACTATCGAATTTTTCAAAAAAAACCATAATATTTGTAATAATGATCGAACATTTTCACTTGTTTTTTACTTAATACACAGAAGCTTCTCAAAAATCCTGTTAAATTTATATCATAGAATAAATATTCAAAGCTATGAAAAAATGTTTTGATTTTAGGCGCTATAAAATGTTAGTTTTTAAGGAGATCCTGCCGTCTCCATGTCAAAAATCTATTTTCGTTACGAAATGATGACAGATCTTTCTAAAATTTTCAGCAAACATTAGCCATATCATGGCCTGATTATGGTAAAAATTTTAGTTTTATATCCCCTATTTCCCAAAGTTATCCTTAAAATAGTGATCAAAAACTAGATGTTTGTAATTCTAGATTTCTCATCCATTTCAAGAGCTAAAGATTACAAACCGATCTTAAAATGTAGGTAACACTTTTTTCTAGTACAGAACATGGCCATTTTGTCTGTATTTTTCAGAAAATAAACAGCTCAATAAAAGAATAGTGTTTTTATATAGGGCTACTCCTTTGACAATAGTGAAACGGGATAGATGCCAAACAGGCTATTAGTCATCTACAATCTAACAGACATATCTAGGTATCTATTGGGTGGACAGAATAAATTAGACTGCTTGTGTTCTCATATTTTCTCCTCCTCCTTACACATGCTTGAACTAGTTTTTCTCCAAAAGGTTTCCTATTGAGTTCTCTACAAATGTATTGACTGTTTTATTGCAAAATCCGACGATGTAAAATGCCATGAGAAATGGTGAGAAGTACTAAAATGTTGAAAAATAAACGTATCTTTTCGAAGAGAGCGATATTTTTTCGAATGGTTTTGCAAGCATTAAAACACGGTTTTAGTATATTTTGTGTAGTTTCAAATAGGCTCTTTCTCGTCGTGTAGAGCAAAAATTGTTTGAATCTAAATATCTAGCGCAAAGATTAATTTCTCAGCAATCAAGTGAAAATAGCAAAAAGTTATTACCTTGTTTTTGCGTGGTGAAACTAAACAAAGTTTTTCGAAATCTTAGCGATGTGATCATAACGACTAATCATTTGTTTTCAAAATTAACCCTTTGGTGCCGGGCGTGCTAAATATACCATTTCGACTATTTCTTAAAATCCGGGGTGGTATATATACCAAATCAATCAAAAGTGAGTGAAAATAGCTTATAGAGTAATTTAAATAGAAGAGATATAGTTAATATATCTCTTCTATTTAAATTGAAAATATTTATTAAAGAGAATTTTTAATATTCATGGAAAATCGAGATAGAGGCACAACATACGCTAAAATTAACCGCTGCACCAAAGGTTAAAAGATTAATCTAAATGGACCAAGTTTGACTAAGTTTTATTTGTTTTATTGGAAGGCTCAAATTATTGGTAAAAGATCATAATTTTTTAAAAATCGACAGAAAGTAATGAAATTCTTGCGCCCTCAATTCTAACTGAAAATTATTTAAATTACAAATGGATTGTTGAGGCGTACACGATGGCTATGTGTTTTCCTCGCTCACAAACTTTTAGCAGATAAAGCTAAAAATAACTGTAAATACGTTTATTTTCTCAACATTTTGGTACTTCTTACCATTTCTCATAACATTTTATACGTTCGGATTTTGCAATAAAACAGTCAATACACTTTTTGTAGAGAACTCAATGGAAAATCTTTTGGTAGAAAAACTAGTTCAATCAAGTGTAAGGAAGAGGAGAAAATTTGAAAATACAAACAGTCTAATTTATTCTGCGCCACCCAATGTTTTAAGTTACTTACCTCTAGAAATATATACTTTCACTTTCTTACGTTAAATTACAACTTTTTCACTAAAACAAGAAATCACGAATTCGTGCGATTGAATATTAGGTCACTAGATAGTGCTTAAGCATAAAAACTACTCTCAATAAAAATTTCATTCTGTTCTTTTTATTTAGTGAAAAAGTTATAATTCAGCTAAAAAGATTAAAATATATGTTTCTAATGGTAAAACAAATGCCTGCATATGTCTGTTAGATTGTTGATAGCCTGTAAGGATTGTTGCTACTATATAAAAATACTCCTTTTTTGCTGAGATATCACCTACATGAGAAGGATGTGTGGCACATTTCCATCAGACTTAAGTGATAACACGTTTTTTACTTGGAAAAATGTAATAAACTATATGCAGAACAATAATACTTTTCCATTCGATGCTTCTCGAAGATTCTCTAGAAACCCACGAATACCCAATACTCAAGCATAAAAAATAGTATCTTATATCAAAATCGATTTTTCTGACAGAGTGCTGGAGCCTTTAATGAGTTAAACAGTTTTCGAAACAAAAATAAGTAAATTAATTTTCTTGAAAATGACACGGAGATGGAGACATTTTCGACGGTTCCAATCGATTCCTTCCGACGTTCTTCAACTATTGCACCTTTACCTATGTAAGTGACCTTTAGCTAATGAATGTTCACTCAATAATCTTAAAAAATATTTAAGGCAGTCAACAAGTTTTGGCAATCTTAGTCACAAATTTTATGCTGATTGTATCTATTCTCGCTGCAATGTTTTTACTGTCAGCTGCAACAGTTATGTACTAAACTGTCGATACAAATTTTTACAATTTTCTCTTATCCCGGATTTCTAGTTACTTTTTTCTTCACCTGTATTTTTAGATGGATAAACAGTGTATACGCTACTATATAAAACTCGCTCGTTATAGAGTTTAGATACTACTCAAATCCATGATGAATTGGCTACAGCTTACGGGCAGGATTATGTACTGTATCGTACAGTTGCCCGCTGGTTGCCTGATTTTTCACGTCGGCGAGAGTCGCTAGAAGACGATCCTCGCAGCAGCCGTCCAGTAACTGAACTGAATTGAAATTTATTTCATCAAACACAAGAAACCCACAACAACTCTCATTACTCAAGAAAACATTGATGCCGTTGAAGATTTGGTGAATGATGACCCACATATTAGTATTGATCTTATTGCTGATATCTTGGATACATCTGGTAGTGTGGATACTAAAACAATATCTACACTAAAGAAAAATATCGTCAAGATGGATGGATGTCTCATGAACTCACACAAGGATAGCGACATGTGAACGTCTGTACAGAAAACTTAGAGAAGTTTGAAAGTGGTGAATGGCCATTGTGTGATATAATCACTGGCGATGAGACAAGGATTTACCATCGCAAGCTTCAACCATAACAACAATCAAAATCATGCTTAATCGAGAGAGGAAGTCCTCCGACTGTCATTAAATGGCAACGATATGAAAAAAACATTGTTTGCCATCTTCTTTATGACAACGAAACCATTAAAAACAAAAGTTAAAGTTGTGGTTCATCTGCCATATTCACCTGACCTTGCTCATTGAAACTTTTGGTTGTTCAATTATTAAAGATAGACTTGATACATGTTCAGATATAATAAGTTTTACTAAAACACTTGCCATCGAACGCAATTCTACATCTGTCGACGAATACAAAATGATATTTCAAATGTGGCTTGAAAGAATGAAACTTCGTAGCGAACATCGCGGTGACTGCTTCGAGCATCTGCTGTTAAAGGATGTATGAAATACCTATTTTACGTATTAATTTTTCGAAGTGCCAGAACTTTTTGACTGCCATAAGTATCATGAAGAAAGCTCAGAAATTACAAATTGATGATGCTCTGAATACTTTTTCAATGATCATCTCGACGTAGAATATCGTATTATAAAGAAGGGTGTAAGAATATCAATAAGCAGTGTATTCTTAATGCATGTAGTGCGTTCTTGACCAGAATACCCTTTTCTATATACAGATATCTAGTAATATGCTCGGCTCTATGTATTTTAGTGTATGACCAGAATACACTTCTATATATACATATATGGCTATGTCTACAAGTTGCTGGACTTCCTTTCTTCTGGACTTCAAGCGATCAAAATGAGATTGAAATTGGGGGATATAATTTTTGATTGTATACCCTACTAGAAAGTTCGGCGAAAGAGTGATCTGTTGTCATCAGAAGATCTGCTTAGATCTACTCGAAAACCTGTTTTTGATTTCGAACTTATTTTTTTGTGCAGAAAGATGTCCACATATCTTCTCTATTGGACAGCGAAAAACATATGTATCTATCGTTTTGCGTTCGGCAGTACATTGCTTCTAGAAATGGATAGTATCCCTAGTGAAACTTTTTTTCTCAAGCACATGACTTTCTTCAATTTCTTGAGTAGGAATCTCATAATAGGGAGATATTTCTTACTCATACAAAGTGCATTGTTGTCAGAAGTCATACCTTAAGTGTTTTACATGAGTATAAAAAATCATGTACATGGGGACAAATCTTGAAGTATGGCATTTTATATGCCTGAGGAAAAAAGCGTTATTAGGGAGAGAATATCAAATTGGACTTTTTGAAACAGAAGTACACTCAAGTATAAATTCTGCACGTTATTAGCAGATCTGTGTCGTCGAGGATGCAAATTCTACATCAAGTCCAGTACTCTTTTTATATCTGTATAGATGAAGGTGTGATAATAAAGGTATAGAATGTATCCACTTATGTTGCATGTATAAGCGTCCACGTACTCACCAATACAGAATCCGTATCATTACCCACACATGCGCATATAAATGAATGCTTGAGATCCACGAAGAAGCAGTAGTGAAATGTTATCTTATATCTCACTCTCATGCTACAGATCTGTCCCATACAACTACAGATATATACGTATGTCTGCTACAAACTGTGTATTGAATAAAATCTCCAAGGCTTATGCACTGAGATGTGTGGCTATGTGTGGTTATGTATATCTAGTGTGCACAAGTAGAATACACTACCTCAGCAATTCTTTTAAAGTAGTGCATTTTCAAATAGGCACTATTTTGCCTAGGCGGCGCTAAGCCATCGAATTATTTATGAAAGTAATACTTGGTACAAAAATATTTTCTACACAAAATAAAATATTGGTCAACTCCTGAGAATATTTCCTTAAGGAGTTATGAGCACTTCTTCATCTTTACCAGTATTTTGGCCCATAATCA